TCTTTCTCCCATAGAGGTGGTTAGTTTACCCTCAGGGTTGCAGGAAATCCCCYGGGCACAGGAGCAAATGGTTGCCGCAGTCAGGTCCCATACGGCTGATACTGGCTTTGTTCGAGAGAGGATAACATCTCTTGATCTCTCTATGCTGGGGGGAACAGAGCAGCATAAAGTGAGAGCATTGTTGTTAAAGTATGAGTCTGTGTTTTCAAGTTTTGATGGCGATCTTGGTGTGACCAATTTAATTGAGCATAGTATCCCGTTGTTGGATGATGTGCCAGTGCGGCAGCGGTACCGGRGTATCCCACCATCTGAATATGAGACAGTTAAGGCTCACATTAACCAGCTGCTGGAAACCCAGGTAATTCGAGAGAGTAGTAGTCCTTATGCGTCCCCCATCGTCCTGGTCAGAAAAAAAGATGGTAGTCTCCGCCTCTGTGTAGACTACAGACAGCTTAATAAGTCCAGGAAGGATGCTTTTCCTTTGCCCTGGATTGGGGAAACACTGGACTCTCTATCAGGAGCCTGTTGGTTCTCAACAATGGACCTCGCTTGTGGTTATAATCAGGTTCAGGTTGCAGAGAACGATCGCCCAAAAACAGCTTTTTGCACTCCGTTTGGGCTCTTCGAGTTTAACCYCATGCCATTCGGGCTGTGCAATGCACCAGGAACCTTTCAGCGTTTGATGGAGAMGATGTTTGGAGCTCAGCATGGTCAGTCACTTTTGTTGTATCTGGATGATATCATTGTGTTCTCTCCTAATGTTGATGAGCACCTGACAAGGCTGGAMGGGGTGCTGAGTCACCTAAAACAAGAAGGACTGAAAGTAAAGTTGGAAAAATGTGACTTTTTTCAAAAAGCAGGTGAAATATTTGGGACATCTRATTTCAGAAGAGGGCGTTTCAACAGACCCAAGTAAAATCGCAGCAGTGTCAGATTGGCCCCACCCCACCAATGTCTCAGAACTACGGTCATTCCTGGGGTTTGCCAACTATTACAGGAGGTTTGTTGAGGGTTTCTCTAAGCTGACTGGGCCCCTCTATCATCTTGGGGCAGGACTCGCTGGATCAAAGACACGCAGAGGGCAAGGACAACTGTTGGGAGAGAGTTGGTCGGAGGACTGAAAGGAGCTTCCAGGAGCTCAAGACCAAGCTTGTAAGTGCCCCTACCCTGGCCTTTGCTGATTTTTCACTGCCTTTTATTCTGGAGGTTGATGCCAGCCACAGAGGACTTGGTGCAGTGTTGTCCCAGGAACAGAGTGGTAAAGTAAGGCCAGTTGCATATGCCAGTCGTAGTCTGCATGCTGCTGAGAAAAACTYTAGTTCCATGAAGCTTGAAATGTTAGCCATGAAATGGGCCATGGCTGAAAAGTTTAAGGAGTACCTGTGGGGTCATTGATGTGTTGTTTGGACAGACAACAATCCCTTAAGCCATTTGGAGACTGCTAAACTTGGTGCCACGGAGCATCGGTGGGTTAGGTGGTGTGGTATACTCAGTTGCTCCAGTTGATAAGCTTCACCTTATAAGACAGGTGCACCATAACTCAATAAAGCCTGCACTGCCACCATCAGATATCTGCCTGAATGCTTGGCTACAGAGTTCGTCTGAGGCCAGTGATGAGGATGATGTGGAGTCTGGATCTTGGTTAGTGTTCCAAGAGGCTGTCAGTAAACCGATTCCCCCGAAACTGGAACTGCAGCCACCAGAAGTGCCGCAGGTTCATACACCTGCTGGAGCAGCGCAAGCTTCATTACCCCCTCAAAGCAGTGGCGTTGGCCGAGGAAATCCACCCGTAAAATGATTGGCCAGCATGCTAACCCTTATCACCTCCCTAGATCAGCTGGGGGTAAGGACAAGGGGGCGACTGTTTCTCTCGATTCTTTATAAGGGGTAAATGTTTGCTAGACACTCGCTAAATATTTACTTGTTTTCTGGATATGTGCATTTGTGTAGCGGGTGCATTGGAGCTGTTAATCCACATGTTTGGGGGGCTGTGACTGATTAAGGTACATGTCTTTCTTTACATTTTATTTTTGTATCTTTATTGGTTTGCA